TGGTGCGCCAGATGCGCCACGTGTTCCGAGTGCGCCAGGTGTGCCGCACACTCCAGCCGCGCCAGGTGCGCCACGTTCGGGGCACGGGGAGAGTGCGTCAGGTGCGCCTGCGCACGTGACAGCACACATCGGGAAACATGTCGGCCCCAACCATCTTTGTCGAAAGCGAATGCCCATCATAGTGTCTGGTGGGCCTGCGCACAGCAGGCCACGCGCCACCAACCCCGCCGTCAATGTCAAAAAACACTTGACAGTGATCGCGGGGTGGCCGCGCATGATCCGGATTTAGCCGCGAGGTGCATGTTGTATCGTGTTTTTTGTCAGGGCTGGTAGCCTTGCGCACAGCAGGGAATATGCTGACACCCCCGCCGTCCATATAAAAAAAAGTGCTCGCGGGCCTCACGAGCATGACTCAAGACTTTGCCCCAAGGTGTACTTTCTATTGTTTTTGACAGAGATGCTGGGGGGGCGCATCGGGTTGGCCGCGCATGCTCCAAATGTGGAGGCAGATTGCGCTTTGTATTGTTGGTTGCCAGTGATGGTGGGGGGAGGGCCCGCATGGGGTCGGCATGGTGCCTGGTTGGTTGCCGAACGGGCGGGGGAGGGGGTGCACACTAATAAGGAACAGTGATCAAGACACCCTCCTAGATATCAAGCCGTCTAGCTCATTCCCACCCGCCCTCCCAACACATAAGTAAGACCCGAGCCTCGGCATGTTCAGCGGTCTGTGCGCGACACTGGGGAGAGGTGCGCGTGCCAGGCACGCCTGGTGCGCCAGATGCGCCACGTGCTCCCGCGTTCGCCAGCTGTGCCGCCTACTCCAGCCGCGCCAGTTGCGCCACGTTCGGGGCACGTGCACAGCGTGTCACGTGCGCCTGCGCGCGTGACAGCACACATCGGGAAACATGTCGGCCCCAACCATCCTTGTCGAAAGCGAATGCCCATCATAGTGTCTGGTGGGCCTGCGCACAGCAGACCATACGCCACCATTTGAGTGATCGCGCGGTGGCCGCGCATGATCCAGATTTAGCCGCGAAGCGCATGTTACATTATTTTTTGTCATGGGTGGTAGCCCTGCCCAGCAGGCAATATGCTGACACCCCCGCCGTCCATATCAAAAACAATACGAAGTGCTCGCGGGCCTCACGAAGATGACTCCAGCTTGTACCCCAAGTGTACTTTATACTGTTTTTGAACAGGGATGGCGGAGGGGGCCCTCACTAGGGGTCCGCTTGGCTGCCGGTCGCTTGGGAGAGGGGGGGAATATTCATAGGCAATGTGATTGACCCCTCCTCGAAGGGGAAAAAAGGGGGTGGGAAGAGACAGCTCTCTAGACCATCTACGCCCACAGTGCTGGTGGAATTCTATTCTCCCAATTTTGTCAAGTTCACCTGGCAGCTTGGCTACGCAAACAACAAAAAAATTGACGCTTCGCGTAACCACACCAGTCGCACCGTTCCGTCGCCCCGGACGCCGCTTCCGCTCCTAGACTGTCGCCGGGGAGCCGCCGACGAAAAAAAGTAACCACACCAGATCGGGGCCGCATGGAGCCCCTGAGTGCACGTGGTTCAGCCTATGCTCTCCTGGCTGTCGGACGACTGTGTTGACTACGTCCACGGTTCCTGGCGGCGATGCCCACGGCACCCTCCTGTTCAGTCGGGATTGCCCTGTTCCTGGTCAGCTCTTACACGTCGGCGCTCCTGTTCGAGAGTGCGCTCGGCTTTTCCTGATCCGGTGGTTCAGGCGTGTTACGGTGTCGATTACATCCATCGTTGTCCTGGCCACCTTCGCTCGCCTTCCCGGGATCACCCCGTGGACGGTTATATGCAGGATCTGTGCTCCCTTCAGGAGTCGTGGTGTGCGACTTTGGTGGCGCCAGCCTATGCACCAGTTTAGGGCCAGTACGATCCCCTGGCAGCTGACGCAGTGTACTGTTGGTTGCCTTCCTGGCCACATCCTGGTACCACCACCGCGCCATTGTGGCTGCGCTCCAACCCTGGTTGGTTAATCGTGCATGTGCGCGCTCCTGGTCCTGGTCCCTGGCAGCTGCAGCCCGCACCCCCCCTCACGCCGGCCCGGCCGCCGACGCGCTGCTGAGGTCGCCGACCCGTCCGCGCTAGGCAATTGGGCTCTTTCGCGGCCCGCTCGGACCTTATTCGCCGCTGGCGCTCTCGCCTGCGGTTGCGACAAAAAGTAACCACACCAGAGTTCTCGGAGAGGGGATTGCCCCGGATTTTTTCTCTCAGGAGTGAGTGTGCGACTTCGGTGGCGCCGCTCGTACTGGTTCTTGGTCAGTGACGTATGCCTGGCCATCGGTGTTATTATTACCTCCTGGAGCGTATTGCAAGCGAGCTGCCCCCTTCTGGGGCTTGGTGCTTGGATGTCTCGTGTGGTTTATCCTACGTCAAATCCTACACGCCCTCTGCGGTCACTCGTCCGCTTCGCTGTCTGTGACCTTGCCGCGCCATTTGGGCTGCGTTTAGCTCCTTGGTTCAATTCGTGCATCTGCCCTGCCCCCGGATCCTGGTCCTGGTTGCAGTTTGCCTCGCCCGTCGGCAAGGTTTCGGGCCCTGCCCCGCTTCCTGGCCCCACCTCGCGCCGCCCGGCAGCTTAGGCAGCTTAGGTTCGGCCGTCGGCCCCCGTGCGCTAGGCAATTAGGCTCGCGCGTAGCCCGCCCGACCTCTGACGCTGCTGGCGCGCTCGCCTGCGGCCGCGACGAAAAAGTAACCACACCAGATATCCTGTTGTCTCCTTTCTCCTCTCACTAGTGTGCAATGTAGGTTTCTGCTGGTTAGCGGTTGCCCTAGACGGCGTGCGGCCTTCCGCTTGCGTTCGCGATCTCAGCGAAACAAAAAAAAACGACAAGTAAATAAAAAACAGCCCATCCAGAAACGATGCCCAGAGGAATGGCAGGGATGTGGACAGCATACAGAGGAAGGGTCCCCCAGTGGAGGCCTCTTGGAGCGTCTTGGGGGCCCTTTGGCGGCCCCGGACCCCTCTTGGAGCGTCTTGGGTGCCTCGGAGAGCTCCTTGGGGCCTCTTGGGGGTCTATAGGGAGCCTTTTGGAGCCCTCTTGGGCGCCTGTTGAGGCCTCCTGGGGCCTTTTGTGCAAGTCGAATTGGGTATAGCGCAGTGGTATTTGTTATTTCTCTACCCCTCGATCTTCGTCAGATCGGGTTCCTCCCCAGGAGCCTCTAGTCAAAAACGTGCGCCCTTAAGCACAAGCAAGGAGACGTTCGCTTGAGAGAGGAACGGCAACGGGCATACACAGCAAACGCATGCTCACTTCACATGAAATGCTCAGGTTTGTCAATAGGGAAATCTGCACGGATAAGGGCCCTCCAAGCTGAGCACACTTCAGTCCTGATCTCCATCTGAACTGCTGCCACATGATGTGGCCTCGTAGTCTGGGAAGTCTCCCTCGTGGTGGGCAGCCCTTGATGATGCTGTGAGGATCACTCCCGATGCATCTGAAGTCATCTCGCGTGGCATTCCTGCCGGCGCATGCCAAAAGGGGAGTATGCTGACCGCCCTCCGTTTCTTGGCGCTCTGGTATTCGGCTGTCGTCCCCTCCTTCAAAGTCAAGGCCTCCACGTCGGTCCGCTTCTCCTTGCCACGGAAGGTGTACACGGTCGTCTGGAGTTTGTCGTAGAGGCCATTGGCGTCCACGACCACGGCAGGTGGCAGACTGGCGAGGGCCTCCTCCGGGATCTACCAGTCGATATTGTTGCCCAAGATCTTTGGCCACTGCAGTTTTACACCGAACAGCTCATCTTCTCCGTCTACTGCTGACCTCGTTTCACATGCGACTGAGCTCCAGCATCCACGGTCTATCTTACCTGACTTCCAAGATATCATGCTCACGTCCGTCCCGTCACCCTGGAGAATCTTCAGTGGGGCCATCCCACAGACCAGGCCCTTAGTAGACTTGTCGGTGGTCGGCGCGTCCTTGTTCTTCTTGCGCTCGGGGGGCAGAACTGCCTTCTCGATGGTCTTGATGTACTCGCTCTGGTCCATGTGGAAGCTCTGGTCGTTCTGCTGCTTGATCCGGACGCCAATCTGCATTAACTGTTCTGTCTCCCAGGTCTTCCACTTGAAGCGCTCCTCGATCTTCTTCCGCGCTTCTTTCCACCGTGGGTCAGACCCCTTTTCCCCAATCAGGAAGTCATCCACGCGCGAGCCGGTAATGGCTATGATGTCGAGGTTGCCCTTCGCCGCGATCAGCATGTCCAGCTTCTCGGGGTCCACGAAGTCCTGCAGCGCCTCCTTAGTGAAGCTATTGAAGCCAGGCCATGACATCACCTGCCGCACGATATGCCGAGACGTACGTGTCATTGTGGGTGCTGTCGTTGGGCGGTGCTCGTACCCTGGGTCCATGTAGCCTAGAAACACGATCCTGCCATTCGGTTTCTTCTCGCCTGCGGTCTCGTCCACCTTCCACTCCAGGATCCGCCGCATGCGCATGGCGCCTTCCTGTGGAGGGCTGATTCCCGGGGGCAGGGATTCCAGTACCGAGGAGATGACGTAGTTGTTCACATCGGTGTCCTTCGCGACGCTGAGCCTCATCATCTCGTCGGGTGTGAGGGTCCTCTCTGAGATCTCTCGCTTGCCCTTGCGCAGCTGGCTCGCCATGTAGGAGCTCATGTGTCTCGTGGCCTGCTCCAGGGCTTGTCCTGCGAGAGGCATCTCCACCGACACCTCCAGTGACGTACCCTGCCTTGCCGAGAAAGCCCGGGCATCTGGCGAGGCCTTCGCCATGAGGGCAGCTCTCTCCTTCGTGGTCTCCTCGGCTGCTGCAGCTCTCGCTGCCTTCGCCCCGTCTGAGGTGCCGCCTGGATGCTTCCCTTTCTTTCGGATCGATTTCCGCACTGGCTGGGGAGGGGAGCTCCTCGGAGGCTTACTTGGCGGCTCCCATGACGTGCCCTCTTCAGGGGTGGTCCTGGCTCAGGCACTCCTTCCCAGGAAGCCACCTCCTCGTCCTGGTCGGTGGGGTCGTGGCCTCAGAAGTCCAGGCACTCCTGCTTCATTGCCTGCTTCATGAAGGTGTGCACCGTCCATGGGGTGTCCCTGCCGCCCATGAGCTCCGCGCAAGCGATCTCACGCGCCGACGCTGCTTGGATCTGGCACAAGTCCACCCTGATGATGCGGCCTGCCCGGACCAGCCACACCACTGGCCCAGCCCGTCCTGGATGCAAGGTATGGTTCTCCCCGAGGTCACCGTCCGCCGGGCGACTGGTCTCCGCAGCGAGCACCCGCGCGAAGCCCTTGAACTGGCCCCGGGTCTCGCCCTTCTCCTTGCGGACGTAGCGCACCCACATGCCAGGGGACACAGCCTTCAGCGCCTGGTTCTTCGCGTCCTCCGCCCGGCTGATCCGTCGCCGGTAGACCTGCCCCAGGTACTCCTGCTCTGTGGCGTACATCTTCGTGTAGTTCTCGCCGTACTTCTTGTCAACCCGGTGGGCCTCGACGTATGGGGAGCTCGTGAAAGTCAATATCAAAGAGGTGGACGTCGAGGTCTGGCGCCCTCCCCAACGCATGCTGGAGTGGGGAGTGGCGTCGAACGTCCCCCCGAGAGTTTCCCGCTGCAGGAGCTCGGGCCAGGGCCTCCTCGGTGGTAATCTCCGGGTTCTCCGCCACGAGCCTGTCCATCGTTCTTCTCGTGGCCAGGATAGCCTCCTCCGCCAAGACGGTGTGCCAGTGGGCCTGCCCTGGGATCGTCTCGTACACGATGGAGTCAGAGTCGAAGTATTACGCAGCCTGCTTTGACATCCACGAGCCCTCAGGGTCCACCTTGACCCTCCGAGGCCTCCCGAAGTATCGCAACCACCGCTCCTCGTAAAAGCTCTTCAGGTCGGCCCACACTGGATTCCTGTGTCGGCCCTCACCCGTCATGTGGTAGAGCAGCTTGCTGACCTCACCTTACAGTTCTCGTCGATGACCAGTGAGAACTGGGACTTGATCTTCTTCCGAGGTTGCTCCCACTCGAACTGGTCGGCCTGGATGCGCTTCCACTTTGGGGGTATGGTTTCGAGGCTGACTGGCGTATGCGTCGGTCGGTGGTGGTTCACCTCAGCACAGGCAACGCTCTGGAAGTCCTCCGCCACGCGCAGCACCTGAGGGCACACACTCTTCCTCCTCAGCGCGTTCAGCATGGAGGCCTTCGGACTGTGGCCCGATCCTCTACGCACAGAGGTGAGCCATCGCATGATCTGCTGGTACTCCTTGGAGCTCTGGTCCATGCCCATGAAGTCGTTATCTTTGCCTGCGTTTAAGGCCTGCTCCTCCGGCGCCCGGGCATCAGTCAGGCCCCTCATGAACTCGCGGTAGTCGGGCGCACCCTCCTCAATCATGGCTCGCACTGCCCTCTTCGCAAACTCGTCTATATAGTAGCTCGTGAATGCTGTGAGTCCACCTCCTGTGAGCTCGCCATGCCGATGACCTCCTGGACCCTCAGAGGCCATCTTCGCCGCCATCTTCGCGCTCGTGATGGAGGCTGGACTGCAGGCCACCTCCATTAGCTTGACCCCTCCATGGGCGAGTAGCGCCTCGAGGTCCTCGGTGTGGTTGGTCTCCTTGATGCACCTCGCGAGCCAGCGCTGCTTCCGCGGGCCCAGCTCCTTCGCGTGGGTCAGACCCCGTCCAGACCATTCGGATTGGAACCCACTGGAATGAAGCTCCCGTCGGACGTGCACGGTGCTCTCGGCTGCTCCTCGAGCCTCTCCGGCCTCTGGTTCAGCTGGCCTAGCGCTGATAGCACCTCCTCCTGGACGCGGCGGTTGACCTGCTTCTCCTTCAGGTCCGCGGCCTGCTTCTCCTCCTCCGCGAGCTCGTCCTCCATCAGAACGTCCACTGCCCCATGGCGAGATGACCTCGCGCCCCATCGAGCCATGGTCGGCTCCACCGGGACATCCACATGGTCCTTGGCCATCTGCTTTTGTAGTTGGACGACTCCCGTCTCGTTGAGCCATGAAACAAACCTGACGAGCTCCCAGCTGCTCTCAGAGTTCGCCTCCTTCTTGGCCCACTTGGCGTAGGACGACGGGAACTGGATCAGGACCTGCTGGTAGGTCATGGCACCGCGCTTCCCGAACCCCATGTAGTCGGTCGGCTCCGGCGCGGTCTTCTGGAGGACTGCCTTGCGCATCGCTAACTCGAGCGCGGCACTCGCAATGTTCGGCGCGATGTGGGCCCCGACCCCCGTCGCCGCCCCGATCCGCTCGGCCTTCTTCATGGAGCTAATGCCCTTCACGGCCCCCTGTGCCTCCGCCTCGTTCCGCGGGAACAGGTTATCCTTGATGATCTGCTTCAGCTCGCCCGAGCTCCAGACGGGGCTGAAGGCGGGGCCAAGCTCCTCGATCACCTTCACCACCTCCGCCTTGAGGAGCCCCTGCACGCCGCTGCGCGATGTTGGCATTGCCCATGCCCGCGTCGCACTGGCACGCGGCCCCGACACAGGCGAGCTGGATAGCCCCTCGGAGGAAGCCGCTGCAGAGCTTCTCTCTGCCATCGACCGGCGGCGCCCGGGAATATGGATGATATGGGAGGCGTGGCGGTGTTAGATGCCCCACTGAGTCGATCATTCCACCTGCTGGAGATCGCGCCGGCCTCGAGCCGCAACGGCTATGGACGCGTCCGTGACCCCCGCCAGGATCTGGTGACCACTCGGACTGCGCTCTCGATTCTAGCTCGACCGAACTTTGGCCAGCGCTGTGGCTTGCGAGAGAGGGGACAAAGAAGCCTCGAGCATTCCTCGTCTCGCACTGCGCGCCGATCCGGGCCCTGCTCTGAGGTCCGGCTCGCAATTGCACTCCGCCCGCCTCTGTCAGAGATGTGCCGGCTGGTCTCGATGAAGTTCTGCGGCTCGCGTGGGTCTTCGACTTTCTGCTCGAGGAGGCCATCCACTACGCTCATGTAGTAGTGGCCCCCATCTAGCGATTCCTCAAGCTGGACTTGGGACGTCTGGGGCCAGCTCCACGAACACTGCGACACTGGTGTCGCAATCCACGACTGACCCCAGCTTCTTCAGCACCTTCTTGGACACGAGGATCGGGACGTCCTTCGCAAAGCCGTCGACGGCGATGTCTCCCTGCACGCCCGCGCCCGCGATCCCGAGCTTCACCTGGCCGTGGGCGCGCTCCTTCTCGCCGTTCCCGAAGGCGCACACTGGGCGGTAGTCCAGGCTCGCCTCCTGGAGCCGCGTCTCCCCGCACTTCTTCATATTCTCGCGGGCAACGACGTCAAGCGCGCGCCCCCCTCCCACGGCGCCCGCGCAACCCAGGTCGACGACCCCCTCGCCCTCACGGATGGTCTGCTCTGCAGACATCGCCTCGCACGTCGAGCCCCCACACTCCTGCTCGGCAGCCATCGCGGCCACGAGGTTGAACTTCAGCTCCTTCCTGCAGGTGGCCACCTTCGCGCTCGCGTCTGGCGCGTTCGCCGCGCCACCTCGGAGGCGCGGGCCACGGCGGTCAGAACATTCCCGCAGCCAATGAGCTCCACCACACTTCGTGCACTTCTTCTTGCCCTTGCTCGGTGGCTTGAGCTGGCCCCTGCCTCCGAATTGGTGGCCCATCGGCCGGCGCGATCCCGCTGGGGATCCTCCGCTAGCTCCTCGGCCTCCGCCCTTGGGCGGGGTTGGCCGGTCGCCCTCCCCGGTAGAAACCCCAGCTTAGGCGATTGTCCGCCTGTGCCTCGCGAGCCTGGCGGAGGGCCCGCTGGGCGCTGTGGATCGCGGCCAGGGCCTCCGCCTCCTCGTGCTGGGCTGCCAAGTACGTCTCGATGTCGTCCTGATCTGCCTCGGATTTGTCTGGCTCCTCGTCGCACATCCCCGGAGGCTCCTGACCCGCCGCGGAGCTGCCGGCGTCCAGGTCGTCCTCCCAGGCGCCCAGCCATGTACGATCATCCTCTCCAAGCTGGGCTGCATATGCCGTCGGGTACTTGGCCTGTCCGTCGCGCTCGGCTAGGTCATCATCTTCCCAGCTCGATATCAGTGTCTCGCGCATGATGTCAATGTCGAGCGATCCTCCTGTCGCGGTCAAGGTCGCCGATCTCTCGCGGGAGTCAAGACCTGAGCGCGCGAGCATCAGCCAGCCGAGAACAAGCTCTGAAAAGACCTCTGGCACCTCATCGAGCTCCTCCTCAGCGTCAGCGTCCGGGGCTGCTGCACTCCAGAGGCGGGAGCCCTCAGTCTCGTTGTCGCCTCGTCCGTCCGTGCACCCCCATGTCCACTCCGAGTCGAACGGCCAGTCCTTCTCGATCCACCTCCATGGCCCGGACGTCTCCTGGACCGTCGATGAGGAGCTGGACATTGGGACCGACTGTCCTAGGGCGCGCGCAAGCGCGCGTCGGAGGTACCGGTAATCTGTCTCGAAGCGGTCCGTCCATTGCTGCATCGCCTCGAGCCTCCGGCGCTTCGTCTTTATCAGCAATGTCTCCGGCTCATGGCCGACATCAGGCACAGCTTGACGCGACAACTTCGCTCGAACCATGCCAGAAGCCTCTCGACCCCGTCTACTCTGGAGAGCCAGCCTGGCTTGCAGCGCTCGACCGTGACTTCGGCCCTGCTCGTGACTCGTGCCTCGAGCCTCGGGCCGCACGGGCACCTCTCTTCTCTTTTGGTCCTCTCCTGGTACTGGAGAGCCTTCCGTCTGTACGTCCGTCAGGTTTTAGAGCCTCTGTCCCAGCCTGGCACCTTCTCCCGATGATCGTCACTCGATATCATCGCAAGGTTCCGCGTCAACTACGGGCTCATGCTACCATGCAAGCCTAGTTGGGTATAGCGCAGTGGTATTTTTTGTTCTCTCTCTCTCTCTCTCTTTCTCTCGCTCTCTACGCCTCGATCTTCGTCAGATCGGGCTCTTCTCCAGGAGCCTCCAGTCAAAAAACGTTTCCCCCTAAACACAAGCGAGGGGGCGCTCGCTTGAGAGAGAAACGACAACGGGCGTACACAGCAAACGCGTGCTCACCTCACATGAAATGCTCGGGCTTCTCAGTCAGGAAATCTGCATCCTGGGCGCCTTTTGGAGCCCTCTTGAAGCGTTATCGGGAGCCTTGGGAGCGCTCTTGGAGCCACCATTGTGCGAAGCCATCTTGAGGCCTCGGATGGCCATCGGAAGCGAAGAGGCGAGAAGCCAAAAACACTTATTTTCTTAAGGTTTTGGAAGGATTTGGGCCTCTTCGGGGTCTTGTGGGGGAGTCCCATGGCCGCTTGCAGCCGTGTTGGGGCGGTCTTGGGGCCTCTTGGAGCATCGCGGGAGCCATCTTGAGGCATTTTGAAATATTTTGAGCCATCTTGGAGGTCATCTTGGGCTCTCCCAGGCACTTTTGGAATCATTTTTAGCAGTTCCCCCCCCAGGAGGCCAGAATGTGGCCAAAACCGTGATAAAATCAATGATTTTGGCATTGTCGCCGAGGCCTCTTAGAGCGTTTTGGCTGCCTGTGGTGAGCCTCTGGGGGCCTTTCGGGGTCTCTTGGGAGCCTTTTGGGGCATCCTGGGGACCTATTAGGGGCCTCTTGGGGCCTCCTGGCCACCTCTTGGGTCCTTTTTGGAGCACCTTTGGGAGCCTTGGGAAAGCTCTTGGGGTCATTCCAGAGGAGATCGATCAAAGAAGGGTGGTCCCTCAATTGGCGCTGCCCCCGAAGACGTCAAAATGAGGCCCAAACCCTAATAAAACCAATGATTGTGGCTTCTTCGCCGAGGCCATTTGGGACGCCCCGGCGACTCGCGAAACGCCCCGTCCACACCCTAAACTACGCCCTGAAGGGCTGGTGGGATTCTTCTTTTCCTCCCCCTCCGCCTCTGCCTCCTCCTCCTTTTGCTCCCCCTCCCCGTCCTCCTCGTCCTCCTCCTCCTCCTCCTCCTCCTCCTCCTCCTCCTCCTCCTCCTCTTCTTCCTTTTCCTTTTCCTCCTTCTCCTCCTCCTCCTCCTTCTTTTCCTTTTTCCTCCTCCTCCTCCTCCTCCTCCTCCTCCTCCTCCTCCTCCTCCTCCTCCTCCTCCTCCTCCTCTTCCAACCTCACCAACTCCTCATATTTTTTTCCTTTTCCCCCCAGGATCCCCTTCACCTCCCCTGCTCATTCCCGTCCCCCTGGCTACGTCCAGCCGCGGCGAAACACCAAAAAACAAAGTGTTTTCTGCGTTTCTTTTACGCCGCAGGGGAGGGGACCGGAAAACTCCAGCCATTTGGACCATTTTCGTGGTTTTTGGAAGCCCCGGAAAGAAAGTTCCAGAAAAGAGGCATCCCAAAAGAATTCACCAATCCAGCATAGTTTGATTTTTCTCTCTCACACACACACACATATATATATATATATATGTGTGTGTGTATGTATGTATACGTGTGTACACACACACACACTTATATATACATATACATACACACACAGTTACAGACAGACACACACATAATATATATATATATATATACATATATATATACATATATATGTGTGTGTGTATACACACACACGCATACATATACGCATACACACTCATATATAGAGACAGATAGAGATAGAGATATATCGATTCATCATCGATATATATATATATGTATACATATATATATATATATACAAGTGGCACGTGTGTGCCCAGGCTCATACAACAAGCTGAAGGGGCGTTTGAAGCAGGAGCGACATGCAACAGCGAAGTCGCACTCGAGCGCAAGTGGGGTTGCCACACCTTGCGATGTGTGTACCAGGGCCCCCCAGGAAGCCTCAGGAGGCCCGACTTGGATACCAGAAGAGGCTCCAGGAGGCCTCCAGGATTGTGAGTGTTGTGTGTGTGATGTCTGCTTTGTGTGGTGCGTGCTTTTTGTGTGTTGTCGGTGTTGTGTGTGTATGTTATGTTTGTCTAGCGTGTGATGTGTTGGGCGTGATTTGTGTCTCTGTGTGTGCATGTAGTTCTGAGGAGGCCCCAGGAGGCCCCAGGCGGCCTCAGCAGGCCCAGGAGAACTCCAGGAGGCTCCGAGGCGGGGTCAGGGGTACCAGAAGGTCCAGAAAGCCCCAGGAGGCCCCAGGAGGCCCCCAGGAGGCTCCGAGGGATCTGGGGTTCGATTTTGGGAGGATGTCGCAGGCGAAACCGCCATTCTCTGAGAATCGAGGTCAAAATTATTGAAATTACCATGTGTTTTTGAAGGTTGTATGTTAAAATGTTGAAAATCCTATGTGTTTTTGACCCTCTCCTTCACGATCTGCGTGAGGGGTGCCACCGATTTTCAGAATTTTGAGAATGTCCCGAGCGAAACGGCCGGGAAAATCGAAGACGCACGCACGCACGGACGCACAGACGCATTAATCCCCTCTGAGCTCTACTCCCTCGGAGAGGTGCGTATGAGAATATATATATATATGTATGTATATAATATATATATATAATATATATATATATATACATATATATATATATATACAAGTGGCACGTGTGTGCCCAGGCTCATACAACAAGCTGAAGGGGCGTTTGAAGCAGGAGTGACATGCAACAGCGAAGTCGCACTCGAGCGCAAGTGGGGTTGCCACACCTTGCGATGTGTGTACCAGGGCCCCCCAGGAAGCCTCAGGAGGCCCGACTTGGATACCAGAAGAGGCTCCAGGAGGCCCCAGGATTGTGAGTGTTGTGTGTGTGATGTGTGCTTTGTGTGGTGCGTGCTTTTTGTGTGTTGTCGGTGTTGTGTGTGTATGTTATGTTTGTCTAGCGTGTGATGTGTTGGGCGTGATTTGTGTCTCTGTGTGTGCATGTAGTTCTGAAGCCCCAGGCCCCAGGAGGCCCCAGGCGGCCTCAGCAGGCCCAGGAGAACTCCAGGAGGCTCCGAGGCGGGGTCAGGGGTACCAGAAGGTCCAGAAAGCCCCAGGAGGCCCCAGGAGGTTCCAGGAGGCCCCCAGAAGGCTCCGAGGAGGGATCAGGGGTTTGATTTTGGGAGGATGTCTCAGGCGAAACCGCCATTTTCTGAGAATCGAGGTCAAAATTATTGAAATTACCATGTGTTTTTGAAGGTTGTATGTTAAAATGTTGAAAATCCTATGTGTTTTTGGACCTCTCCTTCACGATCTGCGTGAGAGGTGCCACCGATTTTCAGAATTTTGAGGATGTCCCGAGCGAAACGGCCGGGAAAATCGAAGACGCACGCACGCACGGACGCACGGACGCATTAATCCCCTCTGAGCTCTACTCCCTCGGAGAGGTGCGTATGAGAATACATATATATATATATATATATATCGACATTCCAATTATTTAATAGTTATGCTAAATTGAATACCGTAAGGAAGTGTTTTGTGTTGTGTTTTGTTGTGTCTAAGTTGATATATAAGATTTGCAGATATTTGTCGTTTATGGTTCGATGTTTCGCGCAGAAATCTATGAGATTATTCAACATACAGGTTTCTTTTATTATTCATACACTGGATAAGTAGTATAATTGTTCTGGATATATGTGTGCATGTAGTTTTTCGTTTTGTTTTTTTCTATAAGAATACGATGAGTATTTGTTTTTTTGACGTTTTTTGCGTTTTGTTATTCATGACATGTCAGAAAGGTTGGTTGTATCAGTTGATTCGTGATTTTCTAGCGGATTTTGCTCAAACCATGATGTATTTCCAATGAAGCGGCGCACCAGCAATTTTTATCAGATTTGATTTAAATTCTCTTGTCCAAATTATGTGTTCGCAGATGTGTGCGCACATATTGCAGAGCATTGCGTGTTTAGGTCGCATCGTATTATTTTTCGGTGCTTACAGATTTCTTAAGCATTTTTTGAACTATAAGGTTGTCAATTAAGTTTTTATTTGATTGTTATTCGACGTATCGATTGAAATTGGATCGGCGTTTGCAGACCGAATAGAGTATTAATCGTTTTATTTGTTTTCTTCAGTTTGCAGAAGTTCATCTCATTTTTTTTTAAATTTTCTGTTTTTGTTGTTTTTTTATTCGTGATTGAATTATGCATTTCTCATTGTAGTTGCAAAGATGGTTGTAGTAAGTTTCGATTGCGTGCGGGTTTAGCGATATAGTGTTTTTTGTTTACAGCAGTTGATCAAAATTGTTTTCGTTTGCATCAGTGCGCAATGAGTTCAGTATTTTTTTCGTCGCTTTTCAGTTGTTTGATATGCCGAATGCGCGCGTTGCACGTCGCTTTGGCTTGCAGTCTTGTTTTGTTTCTTTTTATTTTTCTATTGGAACATCTCAATGTGCACACACAAATTCATCGTTATGATCGATATAAATTGAGTTGATTTGTCCATTATATTTGAATGTTTTTTTGTTTTAATTATATTTTTGAGTTTTTACGTAATTCAATAATAGAACCGTAATTTAATTATGCAACGACAGCGATCCATCGAATAAATTATTTCTGGTGTCACAACAAATTAGGATAATGGTGTTTTCTATGGTATTTCAGTATTTGCAGTATCAGTTTTAATTTTGAAGACGATTAATATCTATAGATATATTTTTTTTTAAAA